TTTCATACTCCTCTCTTTGCGATCGACGGTCTGGTCGAGTCATGCGGTGACTCCCACATAGTGTACCTCAAGGCGATCCACTCACTCCTCGAGGTGGGGTCCGGAGGTAGAGGGTTCGCCCCCGATGATGATGATGATGCAGTAGCTGATGATGATGGTGGTGCTACGGTGCGGCGGCGGCGCCCGGGAGCTTTAGTGGGTGGCTGCTCCTGGAAAGGAATCTCTGGATCAGGCTGCACTGGTGCAGGGTCGACCCGGGGTCGCAAAACTGCTGAGGGTCGAAGGCCCTCGAGGAACTCAATTCCTCTCTCCCCTTGAAGCACCAGCTTCATGTTATAGGGGGTTTCCACCGAAAACTGGTTTCATTAGATATCTTACAACTAGAATGTAATATCCCGTTTTGGCTAAAATCGTATTACTGTCGCTAGAAAATTTCACGATTTAAAATCGAGCATTTTGGCAGTATTTCGACGAAAATCGGATTATCGATCTATCGGATAAGTATACGTATTAATTTTATATATATAGGGAGTTCTACGGTACCCCGGGTGAAATCCGGGGTACCGCATACCTTAAGTAAGAAAACACTATCTAGAACTTGAATTGACTGATCTTTCGGACATTATACTATACTCTAACCCATAAAGATCAAAATCTAGGTCTTAATTCTCTAAATCTTATACCCAAAAATCCTGCTAATTCGAGGTCTAGATAGCGTTTTCATACTCAAGGTATGGGGTACCCCGGATTTCACCCGGGGTACCGTAGAAGGCACCATATATATATATAATTACCGGCATATATATAAACATTCCCTCTGTCCATTTCAATTCAATCTTCTTCCTTTTCTCTTTTCGAACTGAGAGCAGAGAACAAGCGGAAGAGTTCGGGGGACGCGAGGGAGCAATTTCCAAAGCTCAATTCTTGAGCCCTAGTGATCCAAAAATCTCGTAAGTAATGCCTAATTCATCTATACATCGTGATTTATCGATTTAGAGCTTTAAAACGAGTTGTTGGTTCAGGAATTTCTTGAATTCCCGATAAGCCAAATTAGGGTTTCAGAGTATCCGGAAGCCGGATTGAGCCCAAATTTCGTATACGAGCTTCCTGCAGCGAGGTAATCAATCCTCTAGTTCTAATCCATGAATTTCGGCAATTATTTAGGTCGGGGTCCAAATCGCTGAATTTAGCTCCGGCCAGGGTTTGATGTATTTTTATCGAGAATTTGATCCGGAGACTAGAACTAACATTGACGGGGATACTGCAGGGGATATTAGGACAATCTCGGATTTTGATTCCGAGTTTGTTTGAGAAAAGTGAAGTTTAGTTCGGGAGGCTAAAACCGGTGTTAAACGACCAGAACTAGTGAGGGACTAGCACGGCATACCGGGTTTGTCGTATCACGATAATTATATTGATGCTTAGAATTGACCTAGGTGAGCTAGAATGGCATGATTAGGGGTGTATGAACTTTTGTGTTGTATGATGAACCCTGGACTGTTGTATGATATTATTGACTTGCCCTAATCGATATGGATCTTGTTTATGTTGACGGTTGCATACATGTTGCCAGATGTGGGATTAATTGTGGATATGCCTTATGATAGTTTGAGAAGGTGATTGGGCATGATTTTTCATGATTATTGTATTTGGATGCACAAGTGGGAAAATATATATCTCATGGTGATATTATGATGTTTAAGGAGGATGACTTGAACGAGGGTTTATCCAGAGGAAGTGCAATTATACGACTCTTGGTTATGTTGAGACGATTATGGCCAGGTCAAATACATGTGCAAGTAACGAATTACGATTAAGTAAGATGAGATATGAATCATGTATAAGGATACCAAATATGAGTGGTCTCACGGTCAACTACATAGTAATTAGGGCTCCCTATGCTATTACTCTATTATGATATGTATGATAGTCACACCTCTCATGTGGTGGTGACTGAAGATTTCTTACGAGATATGTCCACACCCAGAGTGGTGTCGGGATATGACTACACCCATAGTGGTGTGGGGTATGTATGACCACATCCGACGGGATGTTGGGGTATGTATGACTACATCCGACTGGATGTGGGGTATGTTTCCCGGTAGAGTTATTAGCATGGGAGTAGCCAGGCGCCTATAAGTAAAACATGATAAGATGCATATGCATAAGTCAAGGTGGTTGAGTCTTTTGCCTATTGGGATGTCGGATGCCTGAGGTCTGAACCTAGTGCTTTGGCTTGTTTGCTAGATGTATGGTAGGGGTATGCTCTGTTATGAACTCACGATGCTATGATTATCTCACTCAGCTATGAGCTGACCCTCTTTTATTCTTCTTCTCTGCTTATGCTATGTGTAAGCAGATCATCAGCAGCAGTAGATAAGTGTTAGGTGGGAGCTGAGCAAGAGTTGAAGTTAAGATGAGGTATGGTCTTCAACTATTCTGTGCTTGGACGACTACTTGGGGTTTTGGCCAGTGATCCACACCTTTTGGTAAAAAAATGTTTTGAGAACATTTTCATGTGCATACTAGCTTTTGATGTAGTGTGATCCACAAGTGTGGAAAGTTGATTATATGTGTATATGTGTGTGGTGGTGTATGTAGTGATGATTATGGTATGTATAAGTATGGTATGCAGTTGTGGAGTATGAAAGTGTGACTATAGCTATGAAAGCTCATGTACATGGTTGTGAGTATATATGTATGTCTACGAATGCAGGGATTCGGAGGAATTATTTTGCAGGTCTAGTTGCAAGAACTGTTAGCCCATTACGCGAGTAATTCATGTCGAAATTTTATTTGATTTTTGGTAATTAATGTAACACCAGTTTTAAATTCCGCTGCAATTGTGTGAACAATATAATCAGGCAAAACGTACAGGGTAGGGTGTTACATAGAATCCCTCTTTTTTCCGATCCAGTTCCTCCACCACCGCGAACCCCAGTTAGATTCAGACATGATACACTTTTTAGTTCATTTATTAACTATTTCACTTATAAATTTCATAGTAATAGTAATAGAAAGAAAATACATTTGATTACCTTCAAGATTAATCCCCCGTGGTAGATCCAAGAACGCCCAAAATGAGAATGGGCTAGGGTTATGAACTTATAATCTATAATCTATAATCTGATAATCGAGTCGATTCCATGATTATAAGTTCATTTCATACCGGACCGGACCGAAATAGGCTTATATACATTGTCAGAAACGGTCTCTCCAACACATAAATGGATGGGAGTTCACGTTTTCATCATCTTTGGTAAAATCAAGTCCACCACGGAGACATTCATAAACAGCTCTATCATAATTCTTAACGGATAAGCCCAATTTTGGTTTAATAGTACAGGCACGGTCTTAGTTCACGGCTGTGTACTGAAAGCCCATACCGCGAACTAAAGTCAAAACGCACCGCATCACAAATCCCAATTCACGGGCAATGGCATGTGTTCACGGTCTTACGACCGTGAACTGACTTGTGTCCAGTGAAAGTTGTTTGTGCTCTGGATGCCTAGCTGTTCACGGGTGGCGCCTCTAGTTCACGGTCTTAGTGACCGTGAACACACAGCCCAAACCGTGTTCTGCTGCTATTTCCACCGTTTGACTTGATTTTTTGCCCTTTCGTCCAACTTTCGACTTCGGGGTTGGTTCTACCTGCCAAAGTCTGAAAAACACCAAAACAAGGCAAAACCCAGTGTAAAACCAAACCTCCCGGAATAAAAATGCTACAAACGACTAAGCAAACCGGGGGCAAAAAGTGTACATATGAGCCCGAATCAATGGCACACTCAAGATTTCTCTCTACATAAAGACAAGAGCGAAAACTCGTAAAATCAAAGGGAAGAAGGCCAAACAACTACTGATGGTCTTAGTCATCCCCACAAATATCTGCATTTTCTATTCCAAAATGACAACATGGTTGTCCTTGTCGAACTTTAGGATACAACCACTGCTGTCTACTATAAAGACAAGAGCGAAAGCAGAGGTAAACTTACATAATGGGGTTAAATCGCATTTGGTGCCCGCACATGCCCCACCATGGTTCTCGCGTGGAATGCTAAGCTGGGACTGGGAAACAAACAGAAAAATGCAATTTTTAGTTTAAAATAAACCCAAAAGAGAACCCCAAAACCAAATATGCAACCTCTTCACTTTTACTGACCCTTCCTCTTTTCTAGACTCTCCAAACTAGCTTATAACCAGAAAGCGCAAAGAAACCACTTACATTTATAGTCGGAGAGAAGAAGAGTAGCAACTGACTCCGGCGCGCGATGGGGAAAATTGACGTTGGCGCGATGGGGGAATCGATTTAGGGTTTCGTCCATTGATGTGATGCGGGAAGCTGACACCGGTGCGCGATGAAGAAGAAGAAGTACCGAGCGGATTCGAAGGAGGATCTGAGGGTTTCGTTGTCTGCTGTGATGGGGGTTGTTGACGCCGGCTCGAGACGAAGAAGAACAACAACGCGAAATTGAAGGAGGATCTGGGACAAGGGGTTAAGGGGGTAGCGTGGCTGGCTCCACCTCTCCCTGCTCTCTGATGAGTTTGATCGGAAATGGTAGAGTCTAGAGGAAGGCGCAAAGCTTCGCGAGGAAGGAGAAAGGGTTTCGGGTCTAAAAATGGCCACTAACCCAATTTATTTTCAAATTTTGTTTTGTTAAGTGGGATCGGGTTTGGTTCTGGGTCTGGTTGGGTTAATTGGTTGGGCATATGACATGGCGGGTTGGGTTTGATCATTTTCGGCCCAAACGGCGCTGACTAGGCACTCCCGTTAGCAATGTCAGCACATAACGGACTTTGTTAACAGAGTTGGACAGAGGCGAACGAAGAGTGACTAAATGTGACATGTGTCAGTAATTCGAGTGACCAAAGTTGATATTAATTTTTTCTAGTGACTAAACATGACACGATTTAAAATTCCATTGAACAAGTCATTAACCCTAAATATATAAATACGAACCAAAAGGCAAAAAGGAAAAAGGGAATAGTTAAGAAGGGGAAAGGGAACAGGTGGAAAATTCTGTGTGTCGTTTCAAATTGTTCCCGAGCTCGGAAGAGAAAATCGACACTGTGAAGGTTTGACAGCCGTAGCGATCAAACAGTTTACGAAAGTCCGAGTCTTTGAATTTCTATCATATCCCAAACTTCGAAACGGTCGCTGCGACTTGGTGAATCTTTCTAGCGGTTGACGGCGGCAACGATGATCAGAAAGAGGGAAAGAGAAAACCCGTGTGGGGTTTGCGGGCACTACCATAAGTACGAAGAAGGCGAGGTTTGCGGGATTTGCGGCCACCGGATTCCGGATTCCTCCACCGACAAACCTTCCGTCCACATCAGCGCTTTCCCTTCTGAGATCCTTCCGGACTTTCTCTATCTGGGTAGCTACGACCACGCCTCAAGGTCCGAGCTTCTGAAAACCCAGGGGATTTCTCGGATTCTCAATGTAAGTCTATTCTGAACTGGGAAGTCCCCTGCTTTCTGCGAAGATTTAGTTGCTTTAGATTGATTTTAATTAGGGTTTTTGGATTTGATTCAGTTAATGGGTTTGATTGGCTGTAGTGCTGATTGTGGATCGAGATGGATTGGGTGTGGTCTGCACATGAGGTGCTTGATGAATTGACTGGAATTATGGAAGGCAGCCGATGAATGAATTTATTAACAGTCAAGTCCTTTGGCTGATGTACTGTTGACTGTTTTTGGTTATTGATAGAGCCTTAGAAATTTGATTCATTTCTTGTTTCTATAGTTACTCGGTATGCATCCTACATATCTGGCCTCAAGATAGTACATCAAAATGAATGAGAGTGGGTGATGTGCTTTCGGTTTGAAGAACTGAATATGGTATTGTGATGAATAATGATCTGGATATATACATCAATCCTCCCCTTTCTGCTATCACATTATTGCGGTGAAGGAGGATTGAGTATGTTAGGTTCTCTTTTAGATGTCCAGGCATGCATATGATGCCAGTCAATAATATGCTGAACTTTTAATGTGCACTGCCTTGTTTCTTATTCTGAAGTAATAATTTGTAATACTCCATCATGATAAATGTTGTAATCTCACTTTCCTTATTGTATTTGTCCTATCTAGACAGTCCCTGCTTGTCAAAATCTTTACAAGAACTCCTTCACCTATCATTGCCTCCAAGATGACAAAACTTTGCAGTTTGATGAAGCCATCCAAGTTTTAGGTGAGCTCTTAGTCTCTTCCCATCCATCTGTTCAACCATAAACTGCATCTATCTGAAGTCAAGCTACTCTTAATGCCATGGTTTGTCGAGACTTGTAATACACATTGCTATGCTTCCTTGATTTCTGAGGACATAATGTATAGATATATCCATGAACTCATCAATGCTGTGGATTTGGTTCAGAGTGTAAACAATATTTGCTTTTTTTTGTTAGAACAATGCGAGAACGAAAAGGCTCGTATTCTTGTACACTGCATGTCAGGAAAGAGTAGGTAAGTTCCTTGCTGTAAAAATTGTTCTTTCCATTTTCTTTCGTCTTTTCATTTCTGGTCTTATTGATGAGCATGTTAATGGGATAAAGTTCTAGGAGGTTAGGAAGCAGATTGTGTATTGAGATAAACGCGTTCTTGTTAGAAATCTACCCTGATCTAAATTACAATGATTTCAACAGGTCTCCAGCAATTGTAATAGCTTACTTAATGAAGTCCAAGGGATGGAGGCTTGCACAAAGTTACCAGTGGGTGAAAGAACGAAGACCTGCTGTTGAATTGACTGAAGGTATCTGATTTATGATTTCCATTTGTCTATTTTCCTCCTGAAACCAATGGAATTTTGATGTCTAATTGTTTGAATTCCGCACCCTTCTGCTAAATCACAGGGGTAAACCAGCAACTGCAGGAGTACGAGCAGAGGCTACTCTTGTCTGCAGATAACACCGATCCTGGAATTCCAGCCTTCCCACCAGCTGGCTCACCATCTTTTAGCTTTGGATTCCCAAAAGTCTACAACGATCTAGCACCACCTCCAGTTGCTACCTTTCCGGCTTTCAGTCCCCCCGGTGCCACCTCAATTTTCTCGCGCCCTCTGGATGTACCTCTGCAGGAGTTCCAGTTTGGGGCTGGCATTCCTCAGGGTAACCCGAAAAGCCCTAGCGGCGGAGATGTTTCAATGGATACATAAAATAGAAAAGCTAGGACTCTGTGAACAATGTTTAGTAGTAGAAGCTGGATTTGGTGCTGTATAAGGAGTTTTGTATTATGAAGTATGGATTATTTTGGGAGTTCTTTGAGCTGTACTCGTCACTTTTCTTGTTTCTATACATAGTAGTAATTCATTGAGCTGTATAGTAGTAATTCATTGAGGGGGGGGGGGGGGGGGGGGGGTTGTTATTTTTGGCTTTCTTTTCCGTCTCCCTCTATCTCGTAGTTCCCACAAATTGCAAGGTTTTTTTGATTGGAAGCTGTGGAGGAAGGGAAACTTAAACGCATTCATATCAGTGCTAATGGTCCTACCATCTCCCACCTGTTTTTTTGCTGATGATAGCATTTTTTTTTTCTTTGAAAACAAGAGGGTACAGGGAGAAATGATGAAACAGATCCTGAAGAAGTATGAGGAAGAATCTGGTCAGCAAGTCAGTTTGTCTAAATCTGAGTTGTCTTTCAGTAGTAATGTGGTGGCAGAGGATAGGGATGAAATAGCTAGCCTACTGGGGATGAAGCAAGTGCTTTTCCATGACAAGTACCTAGGTCTACCTACTAATATTGGAAGGTCTAAAAATGGAGTGTTCTTACAGCTAATTGACAGGGTTAGAAAGAAAGTTAAGATGTGGAAGAGCAAAACACTATCCAATGTAGGGAAGGAAGTATTGATTAAAGCAATAGCCCAAGCTCAAAGCACCTATGCTATGTCTGTCTTCTTAATTCCGCAGGGAGTGATAGAGGAAATTCAAAGAATCATTGCTGGATTTTGGTGGGGACAGAAGAAGGAAGAAAGAAGGATACACTGGATGAGCTGGGAAAGGCTTAGCAAACCGAAGAGTGAAGGGGGTATGGGATTTAGGGATCTCCATGGATTTAACATTGCCCTCCTTGGAAGGCAAGTGTGGAACATAGTGAAAAATCCAGATTCCTTGGTTGCTCGAGTGCTGAAAGCAAAATATTACCCTCACAGTGATATAATGGAGGCTGAACTAGGAAGCAATCCTAGCTATATATGGAGAAGTTTGATGGCGGGACATGCATTGATAAAAGAAGGGATAAGGTGGCGGATTGGAAGCGGAGATCAAGTTCGTGTCTGGTGGGATAAATGGGTCCCCAGTAGCCCCAATTTTAAGATTGAATCACCAGTCTCATCACTGGGATTACAAGCAAGGGTCTCGGACCTGATAGAAGCATCAGACAGGAGCTGGAAACAAGACCTACTGCAGACTCATTTTCAACCAATAGACAGCTAAGACAGGGAAAGAATCCTACAAATCCATTTGCCAAGAAATCAACGAACAGATGTTCGGGTCGGGGGGTATGATAGGTTAGGAAAATACTTTGTGAAATCTGGTTATCATGTATGGAGAAGGAAGAAACAGGAGAACCAGGGGGATATGTATATTCCAGTCACTGGAAAAGGATGTGGCAGCTTCAACTACCACCAAAAGTTCGTGTATTCCTATGGCGTTGGGGAAGCAATATCCTACCAACTGGAGGCAACCTTACAAAGCGTATTCAAGAGGCTAGTAATGAGTGCCCTTTTTGTGGCTTAAAGGAAACCCAGTAGCACATTTTAAGGGATTGTGATTGGGCAGGAAAGGTTTGGCGTCCCAGTTTCATAAAGCAATTGTTCCTAATGGGGGAGTCAAGGACTACAGAGGAGTGGCTGTGTGAACTCAGTGACAATTCCACAGATGAATAATTATGCTCAATGGCTATGGCCCTAGGGTTCATGTGGAAGGAGCGCAACAACCACCTCTTTAACAATAAGAAGCTCAAAGAGTGGGAAATCATAGAAAGGTCTCAATTTTACATGGATGAATATCGGAGCGGAAACCCAAAATCCGGCTGAGAGAGATTGCCAAGAGCGATGGTGCGGTGGGAGAAACCGGAGAGAGGAGCTCTGAAGGTGAATGTTGATGCGGCAAAGCTGCAGGAGAAGCGCACAAGGATGGGGATGATGAAGGGAAGTTCATCTTATCGGCGGTGAGAAGGACAAGAGTGGATTGGGACCTTGAGATGGCTTAAGCTCAGACGTTTCTCTGGGCGATGCGTCTAGCGAGGGCACACGTGACGAAGCCGATCTTGATGGAATCAGATTGCCAGTCTCTAATTCTGAAGCTGAACAAGGAGGAATCAAGCAAGATGGAATTGGGGGTGGTGGTGGAAGAGATTAAAGCAGTAGCTCAGGAGGAGGGTGAAGTGCGGTGGAGATTTTGGGGAAGAAATGGGAATGCAGTGGCTCGCGAGATGGCTCGGATTGAGTGTAGGTGGGAGGAGACTGAAATTTGGTGTAAAATATCTCAACTTTTGGTTATTTCATCCTTGTTGAAGGACTGTAATGACATTTTTACGCACTAAATAAAATATGCAGATTTGAGTTGTCAAAAAAAGAAAGACCTGTTCCTTTTTCTCTTATAAAATTAATTTATCGGCGGAGGCTTGTGGTCAAACACATTTACGGATTTACCAATCTTGAGACATCTACTTAAACGTACCCCTATACCTACTGCATCTACTTAAACGTATCCTAAACCTAATGAATGCAAAAGTTGGAGACATTGGTTCAATCCAGGTGGCGCAGCGCCAAGGTCATGTGTAGGGCTGGCAATTCGGTTGCCGGTTAGCCGCCGGTTATAATCGAAAACCGACATAAGCCGACTAACCGAAAACCGGAAAAAACCGACCTTAGTCGGTGTTCGGATGCCCATCAGAGGGCTCCGGCTAGGCGAATAACCGGGAATGATTAACTGCGGCTAACCGGATAACCAACCCTCACCGAAAATCCCCTTCTCCCCATCCAAAAATCGCAGAAACCCATCACCCCAAATCAAATAACCTAATTCCAATACCCTCCCCCATCCTCCCTGCGAGACCGCCTGCTCCCCCGCCGACGCTGCCATCAACGTGCGACCTTGCTCTCAACCAGCGACCCCGCCTGTTCCGTCGTCGTCGTTTCCTCCCCCCGAGTCCGCAACACCGCTTGCTCAGCAGTCACCGCTTCCTCCCGACAACAGCGCCACTTTGCGGCGAGTGCGCCTGCCACAGTTCAAACCATTGCAGTTGGTACCACCCAATTCAACACTTCAAATAATGCAATCACTAGATTTCAAGCAACGGAAGATGACCGATTCTCATCCTCCTCCTCCTCACATGGCCGCCGTTTGTCCATTCTATTCCAGCCGGCGGCGGCTAAACAAGTTGAATTTTAAAACTATCCTCTTCCACAGGCGTCCAAGGATTAGACAGAAGGGCTTGAAGGACTGTCTTCCCCGCGATATTGCCTCCGCCTCCCCCCAAATCTCGTCCCTGATTCATGTCGCACCTCCGCCTCTGTCATCGACGTCGAATAGAGAGAAGCAGCTTCAGCAAAATCCGGGTAGATTGATGGCGGTTGTGAGGTTGGAGGAAGGAATTGACGGGATTTGAGGGTAGAGAAATACATATCGTGAATGGAGAGGGAGGAGGAATGATTTTTTGGGGAGAGGAAAGGGAGCAGGAGATGGGAACAGAGGAAGGATCGAGAATGATTTTTTGGAGAGAGGAAGGACGGTTAAACCGACCCAGCACCAAAAACCGACCGGTCGGTGGTCGGATAACCGTGACTCCCTTCACGGTCGGCATCCATAGACGGCATCTCGGTTTAACCGATAACCGAGAAATCGCTTTTCGGTTAAACCGAAACCGACCGACTGCCACCCATAGTCATGTGTGTTAGTCAATAGGTTAATATCAAAATCTGCTCCTTTACTAAGTGGTTTTCTCACACTTATCTCTCTATTATTTTTGGGTTAATACCTTATTCTGGTTCGAACGATACCCAATTAATTAACTTTGACCCATGGTTTCAGAAAAAGCTATTATGGTCTCAACTATATACCATATAGTCCAGCTTGGTCAGACACGTAATTTGGACGGTCAACAACTTTGACTAACGGTCAACGCTCTAGCTAACCGCCACGTCAGCAAAAAATAAATAAAAAATTCAAATTCCAAATTATTTCCATATTTATTTTATTTATCTATCATATAATAAAATAAACAACCAAAAAATAATAATAAAAGGGTTGATTGCATGGTTGGTCACTGAGATTACAAAAAACGTTCAAGTTTGGTCACTAGAAATATTTAAATCCATTGGTGATACTTCACTTTACAAAACCGTTCACGTTTGGTCACTCTCCGTTAGTTGTCGTTCATCTCCGTTAAAGGAGTCCGTTAAGTGATGACGTGGCAGATGGAATCATCTAATCAACACTATTTAACCCGAAAATAGTCTGACCCGACCTGCCACATCATTAAAACCCACCAGCTCATCTAAACCTACCCAACCCTCTAACCAAATCAGGCCCGACCCACCAACCCAACTACCCATCAAAATTAAATCCCTAAATCAAAGAAAACCCAACACCTTCCCCTTCTTCGAGCTTGTACAGGTTAGTGATTATTTCTGTACTGCGATTAAATTGGGTGGAAGGGCTAGGTCGAGCTTCTCTTGGTCTATTCCAATGTTTTGTTCCTCCAAGTTGGAATTCCATCCCGGTTCGGATTTAGGGTTTTCCAGCGCTATTGTTGGAATCGCTAGAGTGGAATTCGGGTGGTGATGATGCCACCAAAGAGAAAGAAGTGGACGAAAGCAAAGGAGAAAACCCTAATCGCCAAGTACGGCGAGATGGTCTCCGATGGTACCCTTGCCAAGATGAAAACACGGGAGAAGAAGTTCAGACAAATTGCCCTGTTTGTGAACTCGTTCCACCATGCTCGCGATCCAATTGCCTATCCTTGGCAGTGGACATGGAAAGATGTGTCCACTAAGGTCTAGAGCATGAGGCATCGGTACTTGTTGGTGAAGCAGAAGATGGTGAGAAAGCCCGACTTCTCCGTGGCCGTGGATGGTGCTGAAGCTGGCGGTGGCGGGGTGGGAGAATTTTCAGAGGGGGATGAGTTCGACTGGGTGGAATGACTAACTCACTGCTCCAACTTCCTGCTCTACAAGGAAGTGTTTGGGGATTTGCCTATTTTTATGGAGCTAATGGGAATGAGTTGATGGTAGTGTTCACTGAGGATAGTGAGTATGGAGGAGGGAGAGGAGCTGGAGGTTTGTTGGTGGGTAGCAGGAGAGGGTTGGACATTATAGAGTTTGGTCATCTAGTGAATTCAGCGGATGGAGATTTTGGTGTGATTGATGGGACTGAGAATGGTGTGCTAGGTTTAGGGTTTGAATATGAAGGAGAAGAACAAGATCAAAATCCCCCCAAA